TTATTATATAAAACACATACGAAAAATACTGTAATACGTATAAATGTGCTTTAATTACTTAGCAAATAAAATATTATTTGTCTATAGAATAAGAAACAAATAATATAATAGTAATGCAATGAGAAAAAAAAAACGTGCTAATTTTCTTAGAAAGGTATGAATACCAATATTTACAAACAAAAAGTCTTTTAAAATTACTACTTTTTTGTTGCTAGCGTTTAAATATATACTCTGTAAGAAATTGATTCTCATAAATAATGATCATATATTATTTATTTTTAATTTTAAATAATTAAAAAATCAAAAAATTTGTATACATGATGTATATTTTAATCATGACTCCATAATAATAAACTTTACAGATGACTAAAAGTATCGTCCTATAATGGAATTCTAATTCTTCTGCTGTCAAATATTTTAACAAATGATATGCTTCTCAATATTTTCTCATTGTTTTGTTTGTTTTGTTTTATCATTACAAAAAAAAAGATTATATTGTTCGTCAATATTCTAAATAAATAACACTGAAAATGAAATGTATGAGTATCAAAACAGTTTTAAATGTTAGAATAAAGTTGTCATTTCTTATAGAAATATTTATAATCTCATTGGTGTATTGCGCTTGAACATATGTGCAATTTCTTTAGAGGTATTTTCAGGTAATGTATGGTGATTTCAAAAAATAATTTAGCACATCAGGAGAAGTACATGTAACGCAGATTTTAGAAAGTCAACTTTTATTTGGAGATAAAATTTATTCCCACCTCGTAGGGCGATGCATCAATAGGGTAGACACCTATATATCTAGAGACAGAGGAATGTAAAATTAATTAAGAGGAATTAGTAGTTTATACAGTGATTTAAAATATCAGCAATTTTAGTGACACTATTAGTTATTTCATAGAGATATTTATCATTTGTTAGTAGAAGTACCTTGTTATAAAGATCACGCGGATTTGTTTTTTATATATATTTTTGTTGGGGGTTGTAAAACGTTATTTCACTCCTTTTTATATGAGGACATCATTACGTTAATTCTAAATAAAAAAAAAAAAAATCACATATGAGTTCATTTTTTATATATTTTACTTCATTTCTGCAATGATATGTTTAATAAATTAATTAATTTATTTTGCAAACTTACTCCGCGAACATCATTCGACACCACGTGCATCGCACGTGCACTTTACTAGTTGAATCAAACATCCGACTGGCCAACACTGAATCAAGCATGTGATTCGTCAACACTGAATTCATTGAAAAACAAATCAATGTGATTCATTAAAGGCATTAGGTTGTCCCATAATCAAGCTGAATCAAGCTCCAGAGATATTTATGAATTTCCAAAGCTAGAAAGTTTTTATTTTCTTCGTTATTTCTTATAATCAGATCAAGCCTCAAGCAACTGTCTAATTTATTAGAGTTCAATAATAAAATTACTAAAAATAATAGTAGAATATTGGATAAAACATGCGAAGTGTAACAAAATATAACGACATGCCTGCTGAAAGGCAATGAGGGATGCAAGGATAGACCCTCCACCACCAGTTCATGTATACCAAGTGTTTGGTGACTAACTAACTTCATACTAGCTTAATCTCTCCAAGATTCCAGTTACAACTTCTAAGTTTCTGTTAATGGATTAAAATATTAAATCTTATCGAGTGTTGTCAAGGAAAATCACACATGAAGAGCACAAAGTGATGCACAAAAGAAAAATATGCTAACTCAGTTTGTGCAAATGTGTGTTCATAAGAACCTTTATCAAGTATTTTCATCATAACAACCATCTTGCTTTAAATCGTGAATCTGGTCCAATATTAATGATAATTTATTAATCATCCAAAGCATCCGTATTGTTGAAGATGAATACAAAAAGTAGCCAAGAGGTTTAGCTTGATACTTCTCAAGTTGCAAAATGCTCACTTCAGCGTTGTATCTAAGAAAAAAAAAAAATCCTCATGACAATTTGTAAATTTATAGAACAATTGTAATCAGCTATTTCTGGAAATGTCATAGAAAGAATCATAAAAGTTCTATGAACCCATATAGATGCATATAACAGCTAACATTTAAAATATCAGGGCCTTCAGGGCAGGAAAACAGAAAAAGGACACCTCAACAGCAGCAAAGAACAACAAAAGTAAACATCACTACAATTCAATGGCTAATCATTTCTCCAACACTAACATAGTAACAATGACTGTGAAAACACGATACGCATATTTAAATGATGTAAATCAATTGGCTACACAATCTTTCTTGCTCCTGAATTATTATTAAGAACTTCAAATGATGGAAAAAATCATCTCTTGCATTGCCAAATTTAACCTGGCAAAATATGTATTTCGTCTTTGGCACAGACCACATAAAGTAATAATGTACATGAAAAATACAGGAAAAGCTGTAACTATACTGACTGATTGGCGTAATCTTGTGCTCCGACAATAATGAGCCTCAAGGTATTCTTCATAAGTCTGCATCACAACTTGAAAAGGATAGCCCTCAGTAGTACAAAATTTCGCCCAAAACTGAATACCCTTATTCTTTTTACTCGAGATTAATAACAGAGATGAGTAAAAATCAAACCAAAGATGTAAACCACACAGAATATGAATATGCAGCAAAAGTTTCGAGAACTGAAACATTGTCGAAAATATGAAAGACCCTGAGATATCATAATAAAAGCAAACACAAAACTGTCATTGACATGGGAGCATGTTATCAGACTAGCAACTCATATGTTTTTTCTTTTGATTGATATATATTCAAAGACGCCAACAATATGGACTTTGGTGCAGCCAAAAAAGTAATGTACAATGAGGGACCAATTAAATGATGTATCGCAGAAGTTTCAAGAAAATAGCAAAAAGCTGAGAATAATCACAGATAAAACAATGACAACTATATAAGCAACACTCACGTGACAAGGGTTAGAGAGCCATGAAGAATCCATACTCGTCCCTTTTGCTGGCCTGAATTTGGACAAAATGACGACAGAAGTCTACGCTCAGATCCTCCTTTTCCCCGGCCCCTCGATGAAGACCTTAACTGGCAGAGCCCTGTTCCCGGGGCCCGTTCAGCGAAGGCTGCACATTGTACACCAACTCTCGAATCGAGCCCTGTCAGCAAAACCTTCTCCTTTGCTAAGACATCGTCCCACACAGACTCAGTAGCACAGGACGATACGAACAAGGAGAAGGTTCATAAGATCAACACTCCAATCATGAACAAACGCATTGACACACTCGCAAGAAAAAACAACAAATCAAAGCAGATACATATCAACAACCAGGAACATGTAACTCAAACCAATACTCATAATCATCACGGCATAAAAATCCAAAAGAAAACAAAATCTATACACCCCCGTAATTATGAAGACATGCTTTTCCCCAGAGGATTTTGAGAAGCACGAATCTTTTGGCGAGCATCGACAATACAATTTGAAATTCGATAGGAAAAACCGTTGCAAGAACAAAACCAGTTGCGAAAATCTGAGAGATAGAGCCCAGCACAATGCATCCTCCACAGCGGACAATGCACATGAAATTGAAAAAGACCCCACAAAAATTTTCACCAACTTCATATCGGGTTTCTTTAGTTCTATAATGAAGGCCCCAAAGAAAATTATATTATCCTGCAAATATAATAAAAATCATACAATCCAAAGCCTCTTGATGCATGCAAATTACACACAACTTAAATAAACCCATCATACTTCACTATTTCAGCAAACAAATTAATCATCCACAATTTCAAAAATGAACACCCCCTCCAAATAAAAAAAAAAAATAAAAAAAAAAAAGACGTTTACACGAATAATTTCGGATTTCGCCAGTGAGCAGTTTGGAGCAAGAGAATGAACCATCTCAGCCGGACAGCCACATGGCCGCCACGAATCCCCAGCCCTTGGCCTCCATAAATCGGGGCTCGGCCCCGCACATGGCCGCCACGAATCCCCAGCCCTTGGCCACCATAAATTGGGGCTCGGCCCAAAATTCCTACAATAACCAAGCGAAATCTCAAACCACAAATAAGGCTAACCGACCACTGGGTCGGGCCAGAGGCACGAGCACCAAGAAATTCACTCGCCTGACATTTGAGGCAGTACCAGCGAGTTGAAGTCTCAGACGGTGGTGAAAGAGATGCGAGCAGCCGATACAGCCGGGGTTACACATTGGTGGTGACAGTCGGGAGAGATGAGGGTTGTAGTGGAGAAAACAGTTGGAATCGAGCGCAAGAGTGGCGGTGGCAGTAAAGTCTTGCAAAGGACAAAAGAAAAAACTCACAACAAATGCTTCTGTAATTAACGATATAACAATAAGTTTCAAGGCATTGTGGACTTGCATTTTACAACATCACACAGTATACATACCAGCAAACTATTCCCAATCTCCGAATTCCTCATATATTACTTGCAAGACTCGGGATATATCAAAACAAAGAAATATTTTCAATCATTTTCTTTATGATATGAACTACCGCATTTGGCTAGCAACAGTTTGAACATAAAGAGACTAAGCAAGTGTAAACCATCAATCAACAGCATACAAAACAAATAATGGCGTCATTTTATATTTCTTTCAGACAGTAACATGAGTAATACATTAGAAAGAATCAAGAACAAAGTATTCTGCATGAAATTTGTGAAGATGAGAGGGTACTATGTTTGTGTGAACTATATATGGGAAAAAATAACTTAAGATGAGTTTTTCGTTCAACAATACAAAATAAATTGGCATAGCAACAACTGATGAGCTTTTCGTTCCACAATCCATTACTTTTGGAAATGTCCCCTCAGATTCAGTATAAACAACGCACCAATTACTCTCTCTCTAAATACTTTGTTTCGTATGCGGTATGCCAAATGGATAGAAAAGAAGCTGCATATTATTTTGACTGCACTGGATAATTGATCGGTTCATCATCATAACAATGTGCTGCCTAAAAAACATCGAACTAAAAGGAAAAAGGTGCAGCCTGCAAATCAACATACTCTAGCAATTGGGAGCACAAATATTTCCGGCTTCATCAAAAGGGACAGAAAAACGAACGCAAGTCAAGGCAGCACAGTAACATCCAGGGAGAAAACCGTCCCTCTCGATCCTAGTCAGTTCTTCCAGCACGTTGCTCTCCAAATCATATGTAAGGATCACACGAGGAGTCCCAAGGTACAAAACATTAGCACTCGGATGAAAAGCAACTGTCTCCACCCACTTAGAGATGGGGGGCCAACACTCCCCACTGAGGACCATGCCGCGAGTCAAGTCATATATGTCAATCCTATACCTCAATTCCCACGAGCTGCTCTTGACATCAAGGGAACAATCCCTGAGCGACCACACGTGAAGCACGTCCTCAAACTCGTTCGAGTAGCACAGCTTGCTTGCCAGCACCCCCATGGACCCCATCAGCCCCTTGCACTGTTTGTACGACAGCGGAAGAGGGGCCACGCGGACCCCCGCCAGTTCCCGAGAAAAATCGAACCGCACAATGTGCCACGTCAGCGACAACCGGAACATAGCCCCATCGAAGTAGGTTGCGGGCCTCATCATGTTGAGTCTGGTCATGCACGGGTCCAGCTCCAGCTCATGGCTCGACCAGCTTTTGTCGGCTGAGGTGTATATGTCCAGAACCATGTCCGGCTTGGTCGTGCGCCACGCAAACCGGATCACGGTGTAGGAGGACGATCGGGATGGGTCGAACGCAAGGGCCGCGAAGAGGAGCCTCTCCTGGGCCCATGCAGGCTGGGGGATCGGCACGCACTGCCCGGTCATAGGGTTGGAGATGTAATATTGGGAGGTCTCAATGTCGACGAACAGGAGCAGCCCATTGCAGCACGAGACCAGGTCATCTGGGCTGGGCTTGAAGGGAAGCTTTGACAAGCCGAGGCATTCTTCCCACGCGAGTAGTTTTGGGCCCCCATTTCTTTCCTGGATAGACAAGTAGTGACCAGGAATCGACTCGCGCATCGTGTACCACTTTTCCGGGAGGTGGTCCGATATAAAATGGGTGAGGCAAGGGTGGCGCGAAGTCCGGGCAATGTACTCGATCATGCTGCCACACCGGCGAAGAACTTTGTGAGTTCGGAGCACGAGTCCGAGCACGGATCTGTGGGGATAACGGAGGCAGATTTGAGAGATCAAAGAGCGCCATGCTTTGGACACAGATTTGAATCTGACCAGAGGTTTTTCAGGAAGCTTACACAGGATTTGTTCCAGAATATCCTCAGGTAAATAGCTCGCCTTGCTGCTACACCCACCCATTATTATTTGTTTCTCTGTCACGTCTAATTCCATAATTTTTTACAACAAAAAAATCTGAACTGGGCGTGGACCAGTAAATAGTTAACGAATAAACAAGAATACAAATCCAATCTTGCTGAAACCAAAAGCTGCAATAATAAAAATCCAATCTTGCTGAAACCAAAAGCTGCAATAATAAAAATCCAATCTTGCTGATACCCCAAAGCTCCAACAAAGTCTGGGAGATGATTGTGGATGAAGATCAACGAGTTACCAGTTCACCGATCAGTAGTCGCCGGCGGCGGATTAAGGGATTTCCCAAAGATCGATTTTTTATGCAATTTGGGGATTTGATTCATCAATAGAGTAATAGGAAGTCAGAAAGAAAATTTGGGAGAGGAGAAGTGAAGGCAATAGGCAATTTTAGATAGCAGGCAACCCAGAAATTCCCATATTGGAAGATCGAAGAAATACATAGCGGCATGAAATACATATCGGTTTATTTAAGACGGTAGGCATGGCCAAAATCCGGGCCCGGCCTGTCCCGGTGGGTCATCGGGTCAAAAATCTACGACCCGCCTGTACACGACCCGGAAACCAGACCTGTCTCAAAATAAAATAAAAAAAAAACTGAAAATTGTTGATAATTTCTCGAGCCGCCCGACCTGAGTCGACTCGACTCAACTCGACGGTTCATATGTTCAAAATTGCTGATTCTGGTCCAGTCCGATTAAATACGGGCCAACTTCGTGCCGGTTTTGGGCCGAGTGACCCGTGCCCATGTCTGCATAAGACCTACCTTTTAGTTAACTAGTGCAGTATCCGTGCGATGCACCGACTAATTTTATTAAGGTGAACATTTATATTTGGATGATTGGAAAAACATACAACTCATTGAAATAAAACAAAATGTAATTTATATATTATTAAACAAAAAAACAAATAATATAGAAAACAACCTAACTCTTGTGAAATAAATTTTTTTAACTTCTATGTAATACAACCAAAAACTTTAGGTTCTACAAAAAAAAAAACAAAAATCACTTAATTATGTATATATATTTATTTACTTATTAAATAATTACTCTCCTATTCCCAAAGCTACATTTACTACACTTTTTTTTAACTTTTATGCAACTCAACCATAAACATAATTGGTTTTTATATATTATATATAACTATAAATGTAATTATTTGTTAAAAATTTACTCTCGTATTCTCAAGACCTAATAATTACACCTTCAATTATGTTGAAGTGGAAGACTAAATTCAACAATCTCCATCTCATCTGCCCATGAATTAGTATTGACTAAGTGAAGAAAAAACTACTCGAATAAAGGGTAGAATTAAGACAGATCAAATTAACGATATTAATTTTTTCAATAACATAATCAGTTTTATAAATAAACACTTAATTATAAATATAATTATTTATTAAAAATTATTATCATATTCTCAAAGCCAAATAGTATTACTTCAATTTTTTGGATGGCCATATTACTTATTTTGGTCTTTATTATTTTTAAGGTAAATGGGAGTTCTTTTTTACATACTAGGATTTTTATTATTTTCTCCATAGTATTAACATAGGACGCAATCTCATTTAAATAAATATTGAAAAAAAAAAAAAATAGTTTTTAATTTAAAAGTAACACATATATATATATATTACTATGGAGTACTTTGAGAAAATATTATTTTTCCTCCAAGACTATTTATTAACCTCACACAAATTTTATTAATTCCTATGCATGATCTATAGTTCAAGACATAATCATAATTATTTTTGTAAATAACTACTTAAATATAAATATAATTATTTAGTATGAATATATTCTAATTTTTAAGGCCAAATGACCAACATTTTCAATTTTTTGGAGGATTGCACAAATCATTTTTGTTCCTTTTCCACTTTGATGGGTAAGTACAAGTTCTTTTTTTTATATATATATAATCTTTTTTTATTATTATAAACAATTAACAATTTTATTTAATAATTATTGAAAACAATTTTAAATGAAAGTTTTTTTTAAAGTTAAGGAGATTACGGGGAGCAACTAAAATTTTGTTCCCATTTTTAACTCTTGGATGTATTTTTAATTGCGTTTAATAGGGTTGACATTTACTTGTTGGGGCTGCTGTAAGTTTGCCACAACAGCCCCCGGCCCTTGTTGTGAGTTTTTCTTTTGTCCTTTGCAAGAGTTAAAGTTGTGATGAGCGAGCGTAGTATAATAGGGAAGATCTTCGGAAGAAAGAGGGCAAACTCAGTGGAATGAAGGCGACTCGAGGTAGCATCTGGTTAACCCGAAATCCTTTCTCGATTTGAAACATATGTCACAACTCATTTCAGTTCTTGTTTCAATCTGAGGAGGATAGAGATAAAATCCGTAAGGGAAAGACATGAACATTCGACGGCCAACATTTGCTCCTCAAAAATTGGAGTCCAGGCTACAAAGTTCTCAGAAGAGGAAAAGAAAATCAATGTTTGGATCCAAATTGTCGATCTCCCTCTACACTGGATGGTGGCTGAAACAGGCTTGAAAATAGGCAAACTACTGGCAAAGGCACAGACATTCAAATACCAGGAGCTGGAGTCCTAATCGACAAGTGCTGAGAGTTTTGATTGAGATGTAGCTGAAAAAACTGTAGAATTTGAATCAAGAAAAAGGGGAACATGCTCATCTTTGTCGACATAGTCTCCCGACCAATCGGCTACAATAAACATATCCACTACAGATCCCATTGAACATATGTTGTCATCACATCAACTACTCAAATTCCCTGTTACCATCAACAAAAGCAGACTCTTCACACCCAAATAAAAAAGATGCCACCCCAAAAGAGTATGGCTAGAACAATAAATTCCTCTATCTATTTCTGAGCTGATCATTCATGCGATGACTAAAACAATAAATCCACCATTTGCACCATATTGCTATTTCTGAGCTGATCATTCATGTGATGACTGAAACAATAAATCCACCATTTGCAGTCATATTGTTTCTCCATAAGAAATCTGACAAGAAACTTTTTACATCCTCTATCTATTTCTGAGCTGATCATTCATGTGATGACTAAAACAATATATTCACCATTTGTAGCCATGTTGTTTCTACATAAGAAAACAAAAGTGGCACCCGAAAGTAATATAGTTCATTTAAGATTCTGACAAGAGACCTCATACATGATTGCTTATGGGATGTCGAAAACAAGGTTTTCAAACTCTGCCATCACCTGAGCCACGTCAGGCCGCTCCTTGGGATCATTTGAAATCAGTCTCTGGATCATGGGCGTGTACACATCCACCAGACCCTCTCCAACCACACCATCCTTCATGTCGTCAATGAATTTTTGCTTCTCGTAGGCCGTCGGAAAATGATGCAATATTTCCAAAAAAATGATGCCAAGACTGTACATATCAATCTTCAAGTCCACCCTACTCCCACGAACCTTCTCGGGAGCCTTATACAGTCTTATTCCATCGGAATTTGAGAATTTCACAAAGCCCCCATCTTCAAGTTTACGAGCTGCAATCAATAAATAAGAAATAAACTTAAAACTTATATTACCATAAGTTCTTTATACATAGTTTGTAAGATCCACTTGCAGAACTTACCAAGACCAAAATCTCCTATTTTGATATTGTTGTCGCTGTCGACAAACACATTCGATAGCGACATGTCACCATGGATAAAACCTTTGGAGTGAATGTGTTCCAACCCTCTCAAGATCGGAGTAAAGAACTCCAATGCTTCACGTTCGCCCACTTGAAAAGAAAGGTCCACAAGGTAATCTGCCAAACAACTAAAGAAAACAGCATTTTCAACAATTATGATCAAATTAACCAAGCAGGCAGTCAGATTGCAATAGACCACCCACCTGGATCACAACTCCATTAAAATATACAGGCAAGGGGTTTCAATGTTTTCTTGCGAAAGAGCGTCAATAATTACTTATGATCAAATTAAGCAAGCATGCATTCAGATTGAAATGGAGCACCCACCTGGAACACAACTCCATTAAAATGTACAGGCAAGGGGACTGGATGTCTTCTTGTGAAAGACCATCAATGTCTTCATCTGATAGAACCTTCGAGTCTGTTTTCCCAGAAACACACCTAGACATTTGGGACTCTATCCAAGCCTTAATCAGAAGAACGCGCATAGTCAATATAAAATAACTATTTGTGAATTCATATACTTGATAGTATTGCAGGAAATGGGGGAGAACTATTTGTAAACACATATACCTGATAGTATTGCACAACATTTGGGTGTTTCATGCTAGACATAGCCTCGACTTCTCTAGAAATCAAGAAACAAATCTTTAACAACATAAAACAATACATTTGGGTGTTTCATGCTAGACATAGCCTCAACTTCTCTATAAATCAAGAAACAAAGACTTAACAACATAAAACAATACCTAAGAGATGTTATACCTCAGTAGCTTGTCCAAAGACATATCGACATAATTGAGTGATATTTTTTTTATGGCATACTCTTTCTTATCATAGTTGTTCTTGCATTTGGCAACAATGCCAAAGCCACCTCTCCCTGCAAATTGTAGTTTCAAATGATTTCCAAACTTATAAAATTTATAACTCCTATAAAATAAAAGTAAGAATTACCGATAAAAGCAATTTCAGTAAAATCTGTAAGATACTTCGATTCTTGCCTGTCAGCTAGATACACTGGTTCACGTAGAACTTCACCCTTCCAAGATATACCCATCGATCTCAGATTATAGTGATAGGTAAGTAGAAGAATAGACGACCTGTATGGAAAAGTTCAGAAATAAACAGTGTAACACTAAAATTACGAATCTAAATAGGATAATGCAAGCAAAAGGAGGAACACAAGTAAATTGCTGAAAGAAATCACTGCACTCCCATAAAAAATGCAAAACAAACTAATGCACAGGCTAATTAATAACTGAATATTAGAGAGGGATTAAAGTTTGACATATAACCATACATAACAACATAAAATTCCAGATCCAAGACGAAGCCTCATTTTGGAGAACAAAAAAAATTACTACTTATTCCACATACTCCAACAGAAGACATCTCAAAAAAGCAGAAAAGAAGTTCACTAAATAACATTGATTAAGCAAATAACAAGTAGACAACACAAGTAAATTCGAAATTGTTCGTCTGTGCATATTCTTCTCAATATTACATAGCACCGCCTTAAAAGGATGTTCACAAGGAAACAAGAGTTTGCACGCTGTAAAAATAATCAGAATAGAATTCTACAAAAGTAACCTACTCCTGACTACAACTTATTTGAGAGAAAATTTGGGGCTGAAATTAGGGCAAAATATTAATTGTTTGAAGATTTACAAACCAAATGATTAACTGTCAGAAATTAAGCATCCAATACCCTCAGGCATCAACAAAAACTGAAGAAAGAGGACGAATCGAAATTAGAAAACGAACAAAAAAAATCGAGAGAGTGAGAGTTGACCAAAATTGACGAAGCCGGTGTAATTGCGAGCGAGCGAGCGCCGGAGGGGGAGAGACTGAGATCGAGGTCCAGAGAGCCGAAGGTGAAAGCGTGGTAGAGAGCTCCGGAGGGTGAGAGCGGGTTTGAGATTACCGGAGGGTAAGCAACCAACGGCGATCGGCGGAGCGGGGGGTTCAGAGCGGCGGAGCAGGGAATGGAGAGTGAAAATGGGCTGCGAGGCGATAGCTTGAGACTGAGGCGCGAGAGCTTGAGAGTAGGAGAGTGAAAATTAGGGCCACCTCAATCAATATGTATGAATGGGGGATTTCACTCGTAAAGTACATTCTCAATCGAGTCCGGGCGTAGAGCGTGAGGAAGGAACAGGGCAAAGTTATGTGATGTTGTTCTTCTAATGTTCCTTTATTTATGTGTTAATATCTTCATTTGTTTCTCCAATTGAAATTTGAAAATTCCCGCTACACTACCCAAGTCTCGTGACAAAGTTGGGTTACAAAATGACATGACAACAATTATATATATATATAAAAGAAAAGTTTTAAAATTTATAAACTAAAATTAATGAAACAATTCATTTTCCTTATAACAGTCATTTTCACTACCCTAATCAACAATTCCTTTACCCCAAATTAATCAAACAATTCATTTTCACTACCCTAATCTCTCTACTACCATCATAGACGGACCTACATGAGGTCCAGGGGGGCCCGTGGGCCCCCCTCATTTTTTTTAAAAAATATTATATATATATATATATATTTGTATATATATATATATATGCAAATACAAAAATAATATAAAAAATAAATAAAAATATAAAAATATGTAATATATATAAATATATAAAACTTATTCCCAATGCTATTTTAATTTAAAGTAAAAATGTTATTTGTTTATTGAAAAATATACTAACAATCATTACATTTTACATTTTTGGATAATTTTTTGAAAATATTTATAATAATTTACTCTTTCGGCTTTTTAATTGTAAATGAATTTAAGGATTTATAAAATTTAAAATTTAGTTGGATTGTTAAATTTTTTGATGTTGATCGATTGTATATTTGAATGTTGATTTTTTACTTAATTTTTTTTTATGTAATCACATATTTTCAATTTTATTATTTATTATTAAAAATGGTCATTTGATAAGCTCTCATCAACAAAAATTTTATGCAATGTGTTCAATTCAAATGAAATTTTGAACAAAAAAAAACTTATTTTTCATATTATAAATCTTAAATCTAAATTATAAATACACGAAATCTCATTTTTTCCTTAAAAAAAGTTTGAGGGTAATGCGGTAAGTTCTTAATAACTTGAAGGTACACATATTAATATCTATATTTATAATTAAACACAATTTTATATGAAATGTCGTTCCTACGTAAATTACAAAA